GAGGGGATGACAGACTCAGGAAGCTGATGATGCTGAAGTCAGATCATGGAGAATCACAGGTGCAATATCCACAATAGTGTTCACTCAGCCCTCTTCATTGGCATCATCATGTCAGATCAGGACTAGTGCAAGTAGTGATTCCCAGCAACCAGCTATGACAAGACTGTTGAGCTTTGCCAACACTGCAACCTCTATGGTTACATTAGCCATCAAGAACAATGACCATACCATATGCCTTCACATTCACAATGCACTACATGCTGGTGAATGTACCAAATTCAATGTGCCAATCTACCAGAATCAAGAGGAAATGGTACAAGAAATGGAAAAAGAGCTGCATACTATGATGAGGTGCTGGAGAGTGGTATAAGGACATCACCTGGGTAAGAGTCATGACCAGGGGGATGACACAGGGCTCAAGGAACTTTTGACAGTATGTGACAGATTTCTGGGAAAAATTATTGTAGGTAGTGAGCACTGTGAGTTTGTTGATACCAGAGGGGGCAGAGGGATGGGAGAGAATATTGGCTGGGGGTATGGTTACTAGTTAAGGGATCCCCTTAGTGAATTATTATGCTGTACTTGGCTGTAACATGTACTTCCCACCAGGTAGTACATCTTGAATTGTAATTGAAAGTGGGGTGTGATAACATGTGGTATGTGATATCAGAGGACATCAGTACAATTAGCAGGTAAAATGATCATTGGAAAAGCATAGGGGATGAACTAATATTTGGCAGTACAGCAACAGGTATGCCCAACATAAAAATACAACTTAAGACATCATTTGTTCACTGGAATGGAAACATTGGCACCACTCCTTGCCATGGGCCATCTGACTCAAGTCCAACTCTGTGCAACAACCTCTAGGAATGACTTGTATGGTCCACATTGAGTAAAATGGACTCCTAAGTTTTGGGGGGATCCAAAGTAGTAGTTGTCCCTTTGGGCCTCTGATCCAGCCATCATCATGTAACTTGACTGCTTGGCCCAGCAGAGCCTGCTGTTGCACAAACCCATCAACAAGTGGATTGCTATTATGCAGTGCATGTGAGGGGTCAAATGAAAAGCAAATGGGATATCTCTTGGCATCTGCATTTTTATTAAGTGAAATAAGGATAGGTCACAGGTGGAGGTACATACCATCTGCAGGGGGGAATGGATGAAGCATGCTGGAGGGGTGGGATACAATCAGTGCCAACTGCTCATTCTCCCAGAGCCTCACAGTGTTGTCCCAAGAGCCTGAGACAATCCTCTTCCCATCAGGGGAGAATGCAACTGATTCAACCCCATCTGTATGACCCTCAAGAGGGCTGCCAATCTGCACACCTCCCTCAACATCCCAGACCCTCACAGTGTTGTCCCTTGAGCCTGAGACAACCCTCTTCCCATCAGGGGAGAATGCAACTGATTCAGCTCCAGAAGTATGACCCTCAAGAGGGCTGCCAATCTGCACACCTCCCTCAACATCCCAGACCCTCACAGTTTTGTCCCCTGAGCCTGAGACAATCCTCTTCCCATCAGGGGAGAATGCAACTGATTCAACTCCAAAAGTATGACCCTCAAGAGGGCTGCCAATCTGCACACCTCCCTCAACATCCCAGACCCTCACAGTGTTGTCCCTTGAGCCTGAGACAATCCTCTTCCCATCAGGGGAGAATGCAACTGAAAAGACTCCAAAAGTATGACCCTCAAGAGGGCTGCCAATCTGCACACCTCCCTCAACATCCCAGACCCTCACAGTGTTGTCCCAAGAGCCTGAGACAATCTTCTTCCCATCAGGGGAGAATGCAACTGATTCAACTCCAAAAGTATGACCCTCAAGAGGGCTGCCAATCTGCACACCTCCCTCAACATCCCAGACCCTCACAGTGTTGTCCCTTGAGCCTGAGACAATCCTCTTCCCATCAGGGGAGAATGCAACTGATTCAACTCCAAAAGTATGGCCATGTAGCAGCTGTTGTTCCACTGGCCACCCTTTCAACCCTCTTACAGCAACTCTAGCCAGGCTTGGGAATTTTGGCAAGAGCATCATTGATAGCAATGCATTGGAAGGAATAAATGGCAATGCAGAAGCATACAGGTGTGGAGTGCTGTGCACTATCACACTGCCAAAATTCTGAATTAACTTGATTCCATCCCTTACCAATGCCAATATATCCTTCGAGCCATCTTGACCCTTCATTGCTGTGTCAGATGTCATCAAATACCATCCATAGGGTACTCACCTGTAGCCATGTTGCAACAGTACCAAGAGCACCTACACCCTTCCCAACCATCCCCAGAAGACTTAATACCTCCAGCCAGAACAGAATCTTTTCACTTCCAACAATAGCCTTCACCAACCCTGCAAGTTCCAAGTCAAATCCTGTCTTCCACAGATGCTGAGCCCAGAATCGACAGGAGTAGGAGAGATGGTGTGGAATCTTCTCCTTGATTCTCTTTGACAGATCAGAAACTTCAGAATTGGCAAGGTAGGAGCTTTCTAATTCGCAGATGTTGAATCGAAGGTTCTCATGAAGAATCTGCAATGAAGCAAAGGTTAGGTCTCTTGTATGCTGTGTGTTAGAGGTGTCAATGAAGTAGATACCGCTCCGCGAATGATCCGTCAGGAAGTCATAGAAGGATGCATGAAGGGGCCGCACAGCAGAGACGCGGTCCACAATACCACTCAGCACCGGAGACATGAACTCGAGGACGAGAAAAATGTCATAGTGCTCCAGCTTGTTTGGGAATTTTTCACGCATCGAATTCAAGGCTGCCATAGGAAGAGGTTCGAGCGTCATCATGATTTGCCGCATAACGGAGTGATATCGTTCCAGGCCTCTCCCAGATTCAGGTATGCCCCCCTTCAGGATTTCAAAGTAAGTCGTGTCCAGAAGTGTCCTTCCTTCTTTTGACTCGAAAGCCATCAGATTGTCGTAGTGTTCTTTCGAAGTTTCTCCAGCTTTACCTGGCTTGATGAACTCGCTAGCCAGACGAGCCCACTCGAACAGACCATCAGATTTTTTGACGACATTCTGGACTTCCGTTGCTCCAATGCTGGGAAAACGGTCAAGTTCCTTGGAAACATATAGCTGGATGTCACGTTCCACCAACTCCCGAGGGACGTCGTCCAATGAGGTTGCCTTCACGTGTTGAACATCCCTCATGACACGTTCGATGTCCGGCATTGGTCTGGACGTCAAAAGGATCCGGAAATTGGCTGGCAGCTGCGCAGCTTCTGATGATTTCAGGAGGCCCAAGATTTCCCTCCTCGACGTCTCCGGCCCACTTTCATCCAACGCATCGATTACCACGACCACATTCCCAACTATCTCTCCATTAATCTCCGACAGCGGCTCCAAGATGAATCGTTTCCACTGCTGTAATACATCGCATGTGGTCTTAAGAGAGTGGTCATTTGACACCACATTCGACAACGCTCGTCGAAATGCCGGACCACGATCCGCCAGATCACGGGCGATAGTAGTCAGAATCTTTTCCTCCCGTCGTTCGGCCTGCCTGTCGCGAGCGAAGCAGAAACAGGTGCCGGGTGCTTTCACATCCTTGATCCAAGATGCGATTGTATGGGCAATGGCAGACTTCCCTCTTCCGGGCTGCCCGTGGAGCCACAAGATACGAGGGGCATCGACGTCACATGTGGTGATCCAGTTGATGATATCCTTCAAAATTTCCGTCCTGGTGCCTTCGAGGCATTTCTTGGTCGTATTCAGGCCCGCACCAGCTGCGTAAGCCATGCCTTCGAGGTTCAGGTCTTCAAGCACGTGGGACATCTTGATCTGGATGTCTCGTATCGCGCGATCTCGATATTGTTGCATCAGATCACCGAGATTCTTGATGTGGCCACGGGCGACGGTCTGCGGGTCAGAAACAAGGCTGTCCCCGATTCTTATCACTGCCGATGTATCACATCAGCACACTGAAGCGGATCAGAGTACCATGACCATAGGACCTACAGATGTTCTTCTTTTTACAATATTTTACGACGAACAGCGCTGCGGCACTCATCTCCTGTGAAATCCTCCGTAACGTCTCTTTCATGCTATCCATATTCTCAATGGTATCCTCTTCCATAAGAAATTCGTAGAGATCCTTTACGGTTTCGAGGAGGCCGAACACTTCGTTGTCCAGGTTTGCTTGATCGATGAGCAACTGAAGAGGACTATATAAGCGAGGGATCCATGAGAGAGAAGGGGGACATACTTGAGAAGCAGCGGTGAGAATCCCTAGCGCAAACTGGACATAAGGGTGGACCTGTGCGCTTACATCAGAGCGTGCAGGCGACGGAGGGGTAAGGCGCCTACATTCGATAGAGCGGTAACAAAGGAGTTGAACAATTTGAGAGGCTGGAGAACCGTCTCGATACTTTGAATCTTCGTCACCGCGGTATCGGCCTGCCCAACGAGACCCACAGCTGTTTGCAATACCTGGGGGATGGGCCTCATCTCAACTACTGCCTGTTGTGCATCATTGACCTGGCTGCCAATTCCGGTGTCGGTTGTCTCTGTAGTAAGAGGCTCTGATCGAGTCTGGTTCGACCGATGGAAGAGACGTCTCATCCCGGAGAACAGTTTTCGAGGTGTATTCACCGACGGTCCAGCAACCGAGGGGGCGTCGGCAGAGGGGCGAGACGCTCCTTCCGACTGTTTGGGCAGAGATCAATAAATACCTTCGCGCGCAAGGTATAAAATGTGTACCGAGGGAATGTTAGGTGCAGTCGAGCTGGGCCTTTCGGAGCTAAACAGACGATGTTTCTTCAGTTGCTTGCGAGCCATTGAGAAATCCGTATTTTGTGTAAGCTTTGTAGGCTGGATTCGAGGTTGAGAGATGTAAATCAGACAGTAGTCAGACTCAGGTGTTGAAAGCGCCGACATGCTGTGGACACGTTGCAGGTGGCACTGCTGGCGCGCGGGCCAGATACATACACAGTGACGCTATCCTCGATATCTAATGCTTATGATAAGGAATTCGACTCCTTCATGCTCGCATTGAACAGAATGTCGACGCCAAGTCTACGAACATTTTCGCTATGCAGTGGGAGCTGTATGTAGTACCTTCAATTGCAGAAGAGTCAGCCAGCCACACCCCCACACTCGCACCTCTTCCCTTCCCTTCTCTCCCCTCCCCCACCACGAGTCGTCATACCCACAGATGGCGGCCCGCCAGTAACGACGACGACACCAGTCGCCTCATCATCACCCGTCAACGTCAAGCTCCTCCTGATTGGCAATGCATCTGTAGGCAAGAGTAGTTTTCTATTGCGATTCTCAGACGAGCAGTGGATACCCGAGGACGAGGCGACTGCAACTATCGGAGTGGATTTCAGGGTGGGTCTTATTTTGTAGGGTTATTTTGTAGGTAGTGATACTGGAGACTCCCTCGAGAATCCCAGCGTATCCGACAAGTTGTTTGGCGCCCCAGCTGCACAGGGGTGACGAGATTCATATGTGCGACGGCTTCGCGCTAACGACTCTTTTCCTCACGTAGGTCCACATGATGGAAGTGAATGGCCGAAAGGTCAAACTCAGTATATGGGTCAGTTTATCCTTCTTTCTGGCTTGCCCGTTGACTGACGGGGCGTTTCCTTCGTTGAACTTGGGCTCTGTGCTTCATCATGCGCTCGTCTTTACGGCGTACACCACATTGTTCTTCCCGCCCATATGTAACGTTGCGCATGATGTGCCACAGGACACAGCAGGACAAGAACGTTTTCGGACGATTACGTCGTCCTATTATAGGGGTGCTCAGGGTATCATAGTCGGTCCTCCTTCTCGTCTTGATTTATTCACGTGTCTCCCGTCTCCCGTCATCTGGTTTTCGCTGTTGAATTTCTCGGTCCAATCCACGGGCAGTATACGACGTCGCGAATAGAGAAACGTATGATGCGTTGCCCAAATGGTTCACGGAGATCGATACGTATGTCTCGTCATTGGTGCCGAAGATCATCGTTGGCAATAAACTAGATAAGGTCATTTCTCATTTCTTTCTCTCCCGCTATTTTCCCTCGTTTTGTCCTCATCTGTCGTGTTGCATGCTATCCTTTTACCTTCATGCATACGATGGAACGGACGAGCATACTTAACAAAACCCAACCAACAGGGACACTCCCGTCAGGTATCTACCTCTGAAGGGCAGACGTTCGCTACCCGCAAAGAATGCCTCTTCCTAGAAGCAAGCGCTAAAACCTCTGTTGGTGTACGCGAGGTTTTCGAGGATCTTGTGAAATGGATACTCGAGACACCAGAATTGTGGGCACCCGTGACACCCGAGTCTGGGGGTGGGAAACGTGGAGATGGGGAAGATGGGATGCCGGGGACAATTGATTTGAATGGGCGGTCGGCACAAGAAGACGATGGGGGGGGGTTGGGTGTGCGTGTTAGTTGCAGTTGGAGACGAGCATTCTGAGAGAGTGGGATGGGGCTACTAATATTGGAGGCAATTTTGGAATACCCCGTCGACTCTCACAAGTTACTTCTGGGTTTGAATGCAGGAGCTAGGTAGTTTTGCATGGAATATACGATAGCTGCACGTCTACTCATTGCTCAAGGTCTGGGGCAGTACATATTCTAATGATCTGGACTCAGGGTGTTGACATTTCTGCTAAGAACGGTGTAATAGCTGCACCGAGTATGGCTCTCGAGATAAGAGGATCGGCGCGTCGCAACCTCGAGATAAGATACAAAGCGTCGGCGACACGGTCAAGGAGAGGAGTGCGCACGAGAGACACGCTCATGGTCAAATTCTAAGGATACAGTCTGTTGCCCTCTCTTTGCGCGCGCGAAGTTACTGGTATATAAAGTTATACCTCGACAGCAAATGTGGGATAGCAGATAACTGCGGGCCGTATCTGCCATCGTTACAAGGTGAGCGACGAATAAAGGGAACTAAGGAGACGATAGACGTACCGAGCAGCGTTGTCGTATAGCTCAAAGAGTGGTATAGCGAGCAGTTTCATGTTTTTGGGAACGGCGAGGACCTCTGAAGAATAGGAATGTCGCATGAACACACGAAGCGATCTACCACGAGAAGGACGAACTTCGTTCAGGCATATGTACCAAGAACAACTTTTTGCACTCCTTTGGTTTGGTGATGTGCGCAGGGATGAATGGATACTGTAGGTATCCGCCGTCAGCCCCTCGCGACAGAAATAAGCATGCAAGGGATGCGCAGACTCGCCATGAATGTCTCGAAGTTGGGTCTCCACCACTGTGCGAGACAATCTCCGATTTCCCATTCGTTGTCGATGCCGTGAGATGCGTTGAATTGCTTGGATTCTGGAGGTGGCGCGAGTCGTTCGTCGAGTCTTCGCTTGAGACCTTCGACGTCGTCTTCACCTGGTTTGAGGTAATCGCCTGGGCTATCCAAACACACATTGAATAAAGGACATGAATGGATATATGCGCGTGAAGATGGGGAGTACTGACAGCTTGAAGAATGCGTTGGCAATCTGTAACATGAGGATATGCGGGTGGCCGTGATCGTGTACCACCAACACGCCCTCTACCGTCCGACGCATTCCGAAATCCTCATAGTTGTTTTGGAGACGCTGCAGACGCGCCGAGACAGATGGGTCTTCCTCTGGCTGAGCTTCCTTTGTGCTAATCAACTCCGGGGGTGAGTGTGTCTGTCGCAGACGACGATAACTCTGTTGCGTACCAGAATGTGAAGTTGGAAAGGGGATAGCTGTGTGGTTCGTCAGCGCTTCAATGAAACAACGTGGCCTGCACTCACAGGGGGATCGTGTTGGACATCGTGGACGACGACGACGACGAGAGGCACGTGACTAGAGAGAGCGCCTGTCACACGAACTCCGACGCGGGCTCTGAATATGAGTCACGGGACCACGGAATTGGAATTGGCACAGATGGCACTGGCGGAGGTAGCGAGTATAGTGTTTTGCCTTCAGCACTATTTAGAATGTTCCGGGGTGTCCTTGTGGCCACGAAGACACTGGACGACGTCGCCGAACCGCTCCGCCAGTGGATTTCGTCATGGGGGAGTAATGTCGCAAATTTTCGAGGCGCATAATAATGCCGCCGGCTGACAATGCTCGCGTATTTCCTTATTAGGGTCATTAAAATGGTCTGGTAATGACATGTCAATGGCTTGGGGGCAGTGCCAAGGGAAGAAATTTCATTGGATGGGAGTTACCTGAGTTACCAAGTGATAATGATCTGATAATGACTGATATGGTGTGACATTGTCTTACATCAGCTGAACCTGGGATCAAAGGATGAACTAGTCCAGCTACGATACATCTTCTCTCATGGCTCCCTCCTGTACCACCCATTTGGCTTTGACCTGTCAAAATGCTGAACAGAATCATGCCATTCTCCATCAATGCCCTCACTGTAACAGGAAATTTCAGAAAACTGGTTTCAAGCAGCACAAGGTGAGTTGCAGGAAGCACAAAGAAGATGAGAGGGAGCATGTAGCTTTTGAATGTCAGTATGAAGAGAAACAACAAGGTACATGAATTGGTGCATAGTGCAGGCAGACCCAATGTAATGGTTTCTGGCTTCAATTATTAACTCAGCTGCCCACCATTGAGCTGCAGGAGCATCAGTACTCAAATCACAGCCTCAAGTGCCTGAAGCTCACTGCACAGATACAGGATATTTCTTCATTGATGAACCCAGTGAGTCTGATTTCCATTTATGTTGTGGTCCTAGTCTCAGACAAACTGCAGCTGCAGTCGAGGTGACTATGGGACAAGATTACAATGAGATGAGCGACATGCTCCAAGCCTCAGGTATGTATTCACTTTGGCACATGTTCTCATAGTGCTCATAATTCCCTCAGACATGCCAATGCCAACTGCCACAAGTTCTAATGTGGAAAAACTTCCTGAATTCAAGATCCAATTTCATCTGAGAAGCAATCAACCACTGATTTATCAGTCTTATGAAGAGTTCCATGTTTTCAGTGAGAAGTCCCCATCCCTGGTTGACAAAACACCTTGGTCCCCATTTCACATGTTGGGTGACTCCGAGTTTGTGGAAATCACACTCACTTCACTACTCAACCAGCAACAAGTCAATGCCCTGCTGGATCTCTTTGCTCATGTCACACAGGGAGCTGTCCAAGTCACACTCAGGAATGATGCTGAACTTCACAAAGTGTGTGATGCAGCTGCAATGGAACTCACTCTGGTATGATTTTCAAATATCCATTTGTCACCATCCGTCCTACCTATCTAAATAGTTCTCCAGGGTCAAAGTTAAGGTACCATACAAAAAGGAAGAATGTATGTTTGAAGCACATATTCGCCCACTGTGGGAGTGGGCATTTGATATCTTAGAAAATCCATTCCTTGGTCCACACTTCACCTGGGACACACAGCGACTTTACAGGCACAATGGCATTGAGTATGAACATTTCTATGACAAGCCCTGGACCAGAGATTATTGGTGGGATATTCAAGTATGTGCCTGGTCAATATGTCATTCATTACCCATACATAACATGTTGTATTTGTGCTGGTCAAGTCTACCAAACATCAAGAATGCTGTGCCATTTGGCCTGATCCTTTATGCTGACAAATCCAACCTATCATCTTTTGGCACTGCCAAGAGTTACCCCATCATTGTGTGCCGCGCAAACTTGCTGGTTGAGATTTGGAATAGCAATGTTGTTGGTGGAGGTACTGTTGTTGGCTGGCTGCCTATTGTGAATGATGTCCACTGTTTAGATATTTGTATAGGCTAAGAACATTTCAGGTGCCTGAAGATGCCAAAGAAGAGGGAAAGCTAGGCTACACAACCCTCAAGCATGTCATTTGGCATGAATCTTTTAAAAAGTTACTTCTGGAGATTGAGCAGTGCTCAAAGACTGGGTATGTACATACATCTTTGCACGACAACATTACCCATTGGCTCTTTCCGAGTCTTATGATGCTGTCCACCAATTTTGAAGAGATGTAATATACTTCCTTCTTCTTGCTTGGACTAATGATACTAACTCAATGGCCTACTACAGATGCATGATGGCACTCACTCATGGTCATGGTGGCAAATGCCCTTGCCTGGTATGTCTTGTACCATCAGAGCTACTCCATGACCTCTCTAGGACTTTTGAACCTCATATGCATGCCCAGGGCATCGATGCGTTATGTGTTCATGCTATGAATCGAGCTGAAGGCAATGAATTGCTGAAGTGGTTAGGTTTACGACCAATCAAAGTAAGTTTCCACCAACAAATCACCATCAGCAAACTAATATAATGGGATGCAGAATGTGTTCTGGCTGATTGGGTTTTCTGATCTCCACCTTGCCTGCAGCTTTGATTGACTGCATTATGGGCATGGTTTTTGGGGCAAGCATGTCTTTGGGGACCTAAAGGTGATTGTAAAGGCGCTCGGGCAACAGATTGAAGCTGACATCAAGAAGTAGTGAATCACTGTTTTACAATCAATTGCTCTGAACATTGTCACTTCTCACATTTGACAATGACAGTGTTGCAAGTTTTCCTCGCTGGCAAAACCTCACACACTTCAACCAAGTCATTCATGTCACTTTTTCAGATGGTAACAAGCTGGCCAATATCTCCAAGGTATGTGTGTCCAATACCAGATGGCTGTCAATGAACTGTTTTCCTAGCAAATCTTCTACACAGGGATCAATGTTTTGAAGAAGAGTATAACCCCTGAAGGGTACCAGCTCCTCTGAGTCATCCGAAGCTACCTACAGCTTGATAGCCTCATTGGCTTAGATGTCCAGACTGAATGTATGGTTAACGTGATCAACAATGAAATATTGACATTTGATCAGACACTGAAGGTAGTTATACACTTTGTGCTCATGCCAATTTGTCATAATGTGTCATTTTCAGGACTACACCAAATGTGTTGTGAAGTCCAACATTGATGGTCTGCAAACTGACTGGAATTTCCTGAAGGTCCACCTCTGGAAGCACATCATTTGAGATATCCACCCAAAGGGTGCCACATGCAACTATAGCACTCAGCCCAATGAAAGTATGCATAAGCCAATCCGAGACGCATATGAACACCATTCAAATGGTAGAGACATTCCTGCTCAGGTATGACAACCATGTGTGCTGACACTCCTACTCACAGTCACTTCAAAATGCATGTTAGGTCTTGTGGGTAGATCATCAAGATCTTGCTACAAAGCTTCTCAGATTGTGTGTTGATCACCTTGAGAAATCCATCTCTGGGGAATCAGATCCAGAAGTTGATGCAGTCAGTGAGCATACCTCAGTTGATCATATTAAGCTTGGTGCACATGTCATCATGACCCAAACCCTGAAAGACTTGGAGGAAAATGGTCAGCCAGATATGGCATTCCATCGGTTCCGTCAAAGGTTCTGTGAGTTCCTTAATGACGCCCTTCTGGCATATGGATATCAAGTCAATTCATGGATCTCCCTCCCCGCTGACTTCACAGTATGTATCTACACTCTCATTATGCATTCATCTAGTTGAAACTGTGCTTGTGCTAAGGTTAAAGAATACCGTTATCTGCTGGTCAACTACAAGTCGACTGTCACTTGGAACCAGTGCACAGATTGTCTCTGCTGCAACCCATCATTTTTTGGTGTGCCCTGCTGTCACACACCAAAGGTGTTTGGTGAGGTGGACATGGATACAGCTGATGAATGGAGATGAAGACCATAGCCCTCATGTGAAGAAGGACAGCCAGGAATGTCAGCAGTCATCCCTTGCACAAGAACAAGTCATCAGTGCCAGAGAAAAAGAAAGGGAGCAAGTTAAGCACTGGCTAAAATTCTTAAGCACCCATGTACAGCATTCCAGTCTTTGACATATCTCTGCCATTTCTGCAGATACCAAGACCATTCCCACACTTGCTTGTAGTTCTCAGCCACGTGATCTTACCTTCCAAAATTGGAAAGGATTTGTGCACTCCACATGTTTCTACAGCACTCCCTCCAAAAGATGCTCATTTTGCTAAATTCTTCTGATATGGCAGCCTCTACATCAATCATTTCACTTGTCCCCTTTGCTAGGGACCATGGCTACATATATCTACCAGGAGTTCCTACCAGCTTCCATCCTGAAGCATCCTGGTACATCCCACCCTCGTCTGTGCCCTCTCAGCCCATCCACCCTGGACAGCATGTTCTTTTTGTCAGTATGACCTCTAGGAGGACATTCTTTGGTCACCTCAGGTCTGTCATTTGCTTGGAAAGGTCTTATGTGGTCGTTTCAGTCTCTCCAGTCCAAGAAGCATATGGATCCTTCCTCCCTGCTCCCTGCAATGTCTTCATACCAGTCTCATCCATCATTCTTCCAAGATTGTGACAGCTACAGTATAATCTACTGTTTTCCACTCTCCCTGATCACATCCATGATGAGTATGATGCACATCTTGCCTCCTTGTTGCAAGATACAGCAGAAGACACTCCCTGTTCATTCTCTCTTCCAACAGAGCCTCGTTCATGAAGTTTTTATTTGCTTCCCTGAGAGGATGGTTTGGGGGGGAAAGTTGCAATCCCCTATGCTCCTGTCACCCCACAGACCCCCAAAGCTTGACCCCTGTTGACATTTGACTCACCCTGTCCACTTTTGGATGTACTATATCAGCATCAGATCAGTGCTGCCTCTCTGTCATCCCACCTTGGCCTAGAAGCAATCTCTTCAAGATGTGACATGCACAGCCTCCCCCTAATGCAATTCCAGTGCACTTTCCCAGTTCCTGACATTACTTGACTCATACTTTGATGTTCTGACTGTCTTTGACTCGCCTATTGCCAATACTTACCAATCTTTTGACTTTGCTTACTGATTCTTTGCTTTTTGGCTTGCTAATCCTTACCAATGCTTACCAATGCTTTCCAAGATGATTACCCATTGCTTACATTCCTTACTCATCAGTTACCAATCACTTACCAAGTGTTTGCACCTTGTTTTCCAAGGGCAACACCCCTGTACTGTATATAAATCACTGTACTTAGATAACAAAAAAAAGACATCAGAGAGCCCCTCTTCCTCACATGTTATCATCACTCTGTAATTCATTCAGCAGCTTTGATAGTTGAGACTTTATTAAGGGTCTAACTATTGTCTACTTCACTTATCCTTCTTAGGACATCAAATTAAGTCATCATCCATCCTTCTGTAGGCTGACAGCAGTCTACCCTATTGCATTCTCTTGCATTCCTGCTTCTTCTTCATCAGGAGCACCCCCAACCCTCAGCACTCATCTTTGAGTGTTGTAGCTTGCAAAAACCCTCCCAAAGAACAGGTTCTACCATCTAGGTACTGCATAGGCACACCACCACTCACTCTTTTTGTCTTTTGTGTTGGTTTTGGTTGGTTTTCACCACTGAACCACACTTTGACTCACAGCATGTTCACTGCTGATGGTTCAAGTATTCCCCTCTTTGAGAAACCACATATCTTCAGGGAAATGTTCTATGATAGAACATCTAGGTACTCGTTGAACTGCCAGGTGTGTACTCAAACGCTGAGTGTGAACAGCAGAAGAAACTTACCAAGATAGCTTATTGTTTTGCCACACAATCTTCTTGTCATGGACTACAGACTTGGACATCTGGGAAGTGTCCATGATGCATGGGCCTTCCAGGGGACTCACATTGCTTCAAATCCTATGCAGTTGATTCCACATGATCATTGGACATGGGCAGACAGTGCATACCCATTGGAGATGTGGTGTGTTGTCCCCTTCAAAAAACCTAAAGGTGGGAGATTATCTTGAGATCAGAATGTGTATAACAAGTACCTTTCAAAGGTACACACCTAGTTTTGCTGCAGTACATGGGCTGACAGCTTTGGAAGATCTGCATACAAGTTGAACATGCATTTGCCACCTTGAAAGGGCACTTTCAAAGCCTCTGTGAAGTGTGCCTGAAAATCCAGACAGAGAAAGAAATGAAAGTCACAATTTACTGGGTGCTTTGTTGCATCATCCTACACAACATGATCATCTAGTTTGAGGAGGAAATGGATGATACAATTGACCATTCAACTGACTGGGTGGTCAACGAAGGAAGTGGCCTTGATGATGGGGACAGAATTGCTGCAGTGGAGGCTGTGGAGACTATTGGTCAGCAATTTCAAGCGAAGCTATTGCATCAGTTGTTTCAACATCTCAGATGGGAACAAACCCATTAATGGCAGTTGTGGGAGATGGTAGTATTAGCAAGATGAAAAAAATACATCCACCATATGTACATCTTGCAAGAGAATAGAGGAAACATGAATATGATGTGAGTACATAGTGGGAACATGCCAGAGATGGATACAGTGGGGAAGTGTGGGTAAAAACTTGGCCACAACAAGATAAACCTATGCAGCACAAGGGGTTGCATCCAAATCAGCCTTCATGAGTTTTGCAAGCTCGATTTTGAGGCAAAGCATCTCTGCCTCGCTGTTGAAGGTGATCTCCTGGGCCTTCATCAGCTGGATGTCAAGTTTCTTTGCCTCCAACTCCAATTCCATCTTAGTCACCATTTCCACCTGCTCTTTCATCAATTCCTCCTTCCTACAAAGATATTCCATCTTGACCATATAGTGTTTAGTCTTCCCAGAAGAAGAAGCCACTAGTGACTCAGCTTCATGACTCAAGTCAATGACCTGGTCTTGAAGCTGAGACTTGCCACATTTAGTTAGTGTTGAACTTGGCTTTGTCAAACTTGTCTTTGATGATGAGTCCCAGAGGGACTGGCTAGGTTTTCAGGAAGAGCTACCAGAGGAGTCAGATGTTGTCATAGAGGCAATACTTGCAGATGAAGGAGGAGGGCAAAGATACAGTGAAGACTGAGAGAAGGCAATTTGGCTATCTGATGAGGGCATACAACCCCTTTGCAGGAGGGAGAACCTAGAGGGGAAATAAGTGACACTTGGCATTGAAGGCCATTGTAACTAGCAATAACTTATCAGTAAATTTTCATTAACATTGCTCTGAATGAACATGAACATACCTTGTCACCCTGCACAGATGCAGAGACCATGTTGACATCGAGGGACTCATCACCACCAGTCTGCTCATCCCCAAACCCCAGCATTGCCTCATCAAACCCAGCTCCAACATCTTCTTCACCCTCATTAGTGACTTCACCACCAGCTTGAGATGGCACATCCTCCTCAGCTTCCTCAAGTCCCCCCACTGTCCCCCCCACACCCATGCAATCACCTGTGATCTCAGCCCTGGAACCCAAAACATTCTTCATACCAAGTGTCCTGTTTTGGATAACCACTAAGAAGCCCTCTGCATGGTTTTTGTTTGGCTCAGAGTTGAAGGGCTTGGGATCAAACAATGGGTTCCCCTGCCAAATGGAATGTAAGTCATCATACCAAGGAAAACTGTTGAGAATGACATCTGTATGTACACATAAGCCCCTGCATTCTTGTACATTGGTCATGTAACATACCATGAAGGCTGGAAAATTTTGGATGGCCAGGTATGATGCCTTCCCCTGACTGTTTGAATCATGCACAGCACTTTCAATAGCTTGCTTTCGGCCTAGATGATCATTAGTGAATCCTGGGTTTATCAGATGATTGGAGACTCACATATTGAGATGGTTGCCCACACTGACTTGAAACTTGGCAGCACTCACTGTGTACATGTCCTTGTAGACACTGTCATCCTTGAAAACAGCTTGGGCAATCATCACTTGGACCTCCTTCTTGTTGTGGCCCACTGGTCTCTCAGTCAAAGTAGATGATAATGATGGGGGTAAGTCACCTGAGTTTTTGTCACTGAAAAGAATCCTGCAGTTAGCAGGATGGCTAAGAAGCCACTGGACAAGTATTTTGGTATGAGGAGTATCCCAATTGATGTTTTTTAGCTGAGTACTTTCCATCAAGGAGTCAGCTGCTGGCTGCTTGTTGGATGCTGGGCCCTTCCCTTTACTCCCACTCCCAGGTACTTGTGAGGATGATCCACCACCAGTAGTCACAGTTATAGAAGGCCTTCCTCAACAAGCTTGTCCACTCAATGAAGCCATGGGTTTTGATAAGAGTGACTGCAGGCAAGCAGACCATTGAGGGTGTTGTCAATAGGGAGGCATAATTTTCAAACTGCATCATGGCATTGCTCTTGAATTTGCCACTTCCAGAATGCTTCCAAAGCCACCTTGAGCGCCACTATTGTCAATAACCTTGTGACATTCTTGCAATATATAGTTTTCAATTGTCTTTGGATACACATCTCAACATTTTTCACAATGTAGACTTTGGATAAATTTTATATGTTTGCTTGAAATCAATATTTACAAGAGTCTCATAATTTGATTCATAAGACAATGTGCTGTATTTGCTTTGGAATACTCTTTAGAGTGTGTGATAACATTGAAACCACTGGTGTGTTATTTCCCATGTTTAGGTCCATTCAATAGATCTCAGGTGTCACAGGCCATGTAGAATTGCCATACAGCTAGGAAACCTTGAGAGCTTTGTGAGGTGGTAAAACGAGGCCCTGTAGTCATGGAATGTGATCACACCAAGGAGGCACCATGCCTGCCATGAGTCCTCATGTGACAGCTTCATTCACCATTTGTGAGGCTGGAGAGCTGTTGTTGTGTCATCATGGTCTTGGCAGCCCCAGTCCAAGGCCTCCTTTGTCGCAAATTTCCTAAATCCATGACAAGTCATTAGCATACCATAATAGGAGCGGATTTCCCACACTGCCTTTTAATGACTTGTAACACCACCCACTTTCCATGAACATGTGGTTGAAATCACATGTCATCTCATGATTATGACTTTGATAACTCATTATTTTACCTAATCACAGTATTATATTGCTGCGGCCTAATAAGTACTTATAACAGCATGACAATGGTGAAGAACCCATAGCAATACCAGTGGAACTCATCACAATGTATACTAACCATTATTATTTATTAATATTTTGATGATCCATTGTTATTTCATTTTGCCTTGGTACACTCATGACAATGGTTAAAATTCCATTCGGAAATTGCTACTTATTGATGTATAGATGAGTGGTAGTAATAATTGGAGAGTTCTACCTAATAATGCCAGTGGTGCAAGTGGACATGTGAAGCAGACAATGAGCAACTAAGAGCAGTAAGGGGAGGAAAGGACAGCAGCTTAATGTAAGTATGGGGGTCATTGTGACAATGACACAAGGATGAAAGCAAATGCATATGCTGTTGACAACCATCAGATCATAGCTTACAGTGTAATTAAAATACTTATGAGATTAGTGAACCAATGGGAGCAGTGATATGGGGTGACAGGATGAGGAAGATAGAATAAGTGTTGCACGAGAAGCATTCATAGCATCAAGCAATAGGACAATAGAGCTGGCTTTGACACACAATGCTGTCATGAGTTGTCTGGAACCTTGAAAAAAGTTAATGTCAGAAGTAATAATAGTGTCATGGGGGAAACATACCTCAACCCTCGAACCCACTCCCCAGGCAACAGACAACAATGAACAAGCACAATGGGGTGGATAACAGTGACAACACCATATGACAATGCAATGAACCAGGACAACAATGCAGGAGACAACAAGGCATGAGAAGAGGGGTGAGTCACTTATAATATAGCCAGTGGAGTTTGAATGACTTAGAAGAAATCAGATCAGGTAATTCCAGAGGACAATGGCGATGATGTATGATTGCAGTGAATGAATGTATTACAAGTAGATCTACGTGACCTTGAAACATGAATTGCATCTAATATAATGGGATGCAAGCTAAATCAAAGACTGTAGAACATATGGTACTGCTATTAATTCAAACCTTCATCTTCTTTGGTTTTGAGGACCTTGTAGTGGTAGCACAGTGACCATGGTGGGTGGGTTCCAGACCTGGTTCAGTAGCATGAATATCAGTTGTAAGACCCTCAGGAACCACCTTGGGAATGGCTGGAATTGCCTTTTGAGCAGCTGAGCTGCACCAGCGACTCATGACTGGAATTGCTCATTGGGATCAAGATGTTTCAGCCTCAGCTGGGCCAGACACATTCATCTGACCAACAGCAATGGTCACCACTGACACCTCAACACCACTGTTTGAAATTGGATGCCCAATTGAGATAGAAGGGGACAATCAATGAGAAGCACCAGAAATAGTTTGAGCACTGAGATCAGCTTGTGCAGCAGTGACACTAGCTGGATGAGAGTGAGGGGGATTGAAATGAGTGACCAAGCCAGCAACAGGTGATGGAGTGTGAGAGACCAATGACAGATTGGAGTCATGTAGATCTGAATCACAGCTGCCAGGGGCATTGAGGTCATGCAGTGTGGAAATGGGCAGGGTGTGACTCTCAGTGGGGTCAATGTTGTCAAGTTTGTCTAAAAATTCATCTTCCCAAGTACATGGCTGCTCCACATTAGCAAATACCTCAGATTCGACATTTGCCAATTGAGACCCCTTCCTGAAGACTTCCTGGTTGAAGAAATTCATCACACTGACAGCCCAAGGAGATGCATTGAAAAGCTTCTCGAGGTAGAAATCATATTCTGATCAGTAGTTGACCTGTGTTTCTGCACTGGTAGCACTTAATTCAGGATCATGTGACAATAGGAATCAAACCTTGGTATGATATTGATGTCAGTGTGTACTAGCACAGTGACCATGGACACCCTCACCAAGATGCAGGCACCAGCAATCAGGCCCTCAGTAATGCTCAGCATGCCCATCTTCTGACCCCTGGCTGGGGGCCATCCATGTTTGTTTTCTGCAAGGATCAATTTTCCAAACATCAGGACATGGAAAACCTATGGGCTGAAATCAATTTTCAAATAAGAGCAGCATTGAACTGTGCATGCTTACCTTAACTAGGATGGGACTCTTCAAGAAGCCTCCAGTAACCATCTGCTTAGGATCTGCAAAAAGAATGGGTGCAAAATGGGTGTATTCTCCAACTCCATCCTTCTTCAAGAGCACCAGGCATGCCTTGTTGTCCTTCTTACAAGTGGGCTGTCCAGTAAAGAGATCTGGTGAAATGTTATATGGAGCAAATAACATGCCAGCACAGTCCTTGATGACTTTGAGGACATTGGATCTCTCCTGACCATGTGCTTGTATGAACTTAAAACAAATTAATATGTTAGTGGTCACCAAGGTTGGAATTACACATATCATGGAGCCAAATTGCTTGTAGGTTGCCATCAACTCATGTAAATCTGCAGGAATCATCTCATAAAGCTCAGTCAGAGCGCCCTTGAGCTTCCCATCCTGTGATTTCCACCATGCTGGATTGCATTGATCAGTATTGGGATTTGGGGCTGCTGGGAAAAGGCTTTGAATGATGAAAAAATGATACAGTAGGAGGTATTTCTTTGCTTCTTGCTCAATACAAGTCATGAGGCTGTTTGACTTGCTAGACATGTTCCTGGACCACTTGGAATGCTGGCTATTGGCTTCGAAGAGAGCCTTCCTTATCTGGCACAGTTCCTTGTGGCATTCAGTGTATGCTCGTTGCACAACACTGAGAGCCTAGCATCATGTCAGCACTAATGCCTGGTGACTCATCATGAACAAGAATGTATAAATACATACCACTTGCAGCTCAGCAACATCAGCTTGAGGTCTGGGAACATGAGTAAGTCACCTGTGCTGTTTGGCATCACTGTCCAGGTCTTCCAAGTTGGTATTGTCTGTCCCTTTGTCAAGGTTGAAGTTTTCAGGACCTCCATCCTCAGCATCAGAGTTGAAGGCATCATAAGCAGCACTGGGTGCCATATCAGTGAAGGAAATGGATGTCAAGGATCAGAGGAAATGGTAAGGCCACACATGGATGGTTGCGAACCTTTGCAAGCCTCCCTTTATTCTCCTTATTAAGGGCCACAGATGTCACAAATCCCAATGGAGGTCAACACCTGCCAGTTGGGTGCTCTTAGATGAATATGGAAATTTTGAATAGTACAAAAAAAAGCAATACATACATAGTAGTAGCCTCAGGGAATCCACATGGCAGACCATCAGCAGGTTGGATGTCAGCAGTTGGACATAACCAGCTATTGAGCTGGTCTGAGGACATAATAAAGCATGATTTGACAATGCAATCAGCAGTAGGCAACTATGGTACAAAAGTTGCTCACCTTAGTCCCTTTTGATATGTAATCGACCATGTGTTCTGGGGATCAATGTTGATGCAGTACAAATTGCAAGTGAATAACTTATATGCAACAATGCAAGGTTGCAGCATTGTCACATGAATTGACTTGACATTAACTTGAATCTGAAACTGACCTTTCAGGAGCTTCTTTCTTGCTTTCTTTCTGGTTATAATATTACAGCTGTTTTATTCTGTTCATGTAATGTTACAGATTCTAGTGTAGACAACAACACTGGTGATGAACCCAGCCACAGAATACACAAGAAAAACTAGCAGAAGAGAGAGCAGAATGCTTCGGCACTGTAAGTGGTTTGAGATGAGTTAGGGATAGGAGTGATAATGGGGAACTGCAAACTCACTGGGAGAAATATGAATCCTTCATGGGCAGCAGCAGCTGCATGATGAACAGCTGCAGAACCCTGCAGCAACTCTGCTTTATACTGGAAAATAGATAGGAAAGATGTAACCATGCTCAGAATGGAACATGAAATGGCAACTGGACCTCCAATGTGTGCAATACCATCCAGTCCCAGGAACGAGATAAGCATGACAGAGGCACTGAGGATAATGCAGACTGTGCAAGCAGAAAGCAGGGAAGGAAAAGAAGTTAGGAATGAGTACAACTATCATCATAATGATTAACCCTCACCACGAGACAGGTACAGGCACCAACAACAAACAGTGGCACACTACTCTGCATGCTTACATTCCCCTCCACATCAAAATGGCTGCTATATCTTGCTCAATCCATGAATGGGATGCCAAGGTACAGTATTCCAATCAATATCTCAACTGCCATTGTGAGTCAAAGTGTGGTTCAGTGGTGAAAACCAAAACCAACACAAAAGACAAAAAGAGCAAGTGGTGGTGTGCCTATGTGGTACCTAGATGGTAGAACCTGTTCTTTGGGAGGGTTTTTGCAAGCTACAACACTCAAAGATGAGTGCTGAGGGTTGGGGGTACTCCTGATGAAGAAGGAGCAGGAATGTGAGAGAATGCAATAGGGTAGACTGCTGTCAGCCTACAGAAGGATGGATGACAACTTAATTTGATGTCCTAAGCTGCACTGAGCTCAGGGAGGGCTTGGAGCAAAGTATATTGATGATAGACAAGGATAAGTGAAGTAGATGATAGTTAGACCCTTAATAAAGTCTCAACTATTGAAACTGCTGAATGAATTACTGAGTGATGATAAAATGCAAGCAAGAGGGGCTCTCTGACATCTTCTTTTTTGCTATCCAAGTACAGTGATTTATATACAGTACAGGGGTGTTGCCCTTGGAAAACAAGGTGCAAACACTTGGTAAGTGATTGGTAACTGATGAGTAAGGAATGTAAGCAATGGGTAATCATCTTGGAAAGCATTGGTAAGCATTGGTAAGGATTAGCAAGCCAAAAAGCAAAGAATCAGTAAGCAAAGTCAAAAGATTGGTAAGTATTGGCAATAGGCGAGTCAGCAGATAATTGCATGTGATTCTGTGCTTTGGGTGAAACTGGGCAGAATAAGTTGGAGTCTTCTGACAGGTTCAAGTTGTGGAAGTGAAGGCATAAATTTTCTAGTTTGGTGCATTCAGCAGTGCACCTGAGCAACCTTTTGGAAGTGGCAGCAGAATCCCTCACAGTGGGCTCCAGTTGTAGGAAAAGTCCAAGTAGCTGTATAATACAAGCTAGATGGCTTAGGTAACAACAATAAGATGAAGGGAATGAATTGCTCATCCCAAGGGATTCTGGACTGCTGAGACTAGAAGGTGGGACCCAGTGATTTGTAGTGGTAGCAATTTGTGACATGCACAACATGGTCTGCAGAGTAGTACTGGTGATGTGAGCAGTGCAAGTGGTATGCATAGTTTGTGTGCAGCAGTATGCAAAATGTGCAGTGTAGACAAAGTGGAAAAGAAACTTGTAGTGACCTTCCAAGTGCCAAAAGGTATCATTCTGTACCTAAGTATAGGGCTTTATAGTCTGGGCAAACCCAGAACCTATGTAAGATAGAGTACAAGTAAGGGAAAACCACACAACAGTGCATACACATAAGACAGGCTGGAACAGAGGCTAAGGGTATACTACAAGCACAAAAGGAACAAAGACTGTAGTAAAAGAAAGAGTCTGAAGGAAAGGCAGTGACTGGAGCACAGTGGCCATGGGTATAGTGTTGTGTGAGAGAGAGCAAGGGCATGGGAAGGTAGCAAGGTAGGTGGGCAGACAGTATGCAAACAGCATTGGATGTGAGTGGTCTGGGGACATAATGATAGTCATGGAACAGTTGATGATAGGGGCTTATGTGTCCAAGGAATGCAGATTCCTTACACTGGCTTGGATGTGTTAGAGCCAGTCTGACCAGTTGAGGTGGGTTTAGATGAAGACTGGTTACCAGAGTTGCCATTTCCAGAGTTATTGCCAGTCTTGGATTTCTCTTGACTGGGCTTAGACTGGGTGTTGTGACCAGGGTTGGGAGTTGACTGAACCTCCTCTTTGCATTCCAAGTAGCATGCATCAATCTCCTGGGCTAGGTGATGAAGTTCATGCAAGGTTCTGGGTTTGCCAACCCAGCAGACCTCATCTTTAATGCAGTCAGGGAAACCAGTGTAAAAGAAGTGGTGCAGAGTGCCATCACTGTATCCCCAGACATGTGAGGCAAGCTGGTTGAACTTGACCATGTACTTGTTGACCCAGTGATTATCTTTCATTTGGAGGTGGTCTAGCTGGCTTTCAGCATTGGCCACTGGGTTGTGGGGTCTGAAGGTGGTTTGAAGTTCTATGATGAACTCTTTCCACAAGTCCATCCAGTAGGGCCAGTCCTCTGGGTCTTCAGTCCCAAGTAGGTCTGGTTCAAACCACTTGAGAGCCATCCCTTTCAGGAATGACTGCATGAAAGTGACCTTGGCTTGATCACTTTGAAAGGCCCAGGGCCAGTCCCAGAAGTTAAGTTCACATTGGATATGAAAAGCATGCAGCTTCTTTGGGTCTGTCCCATCAAAGGTGTCCAGTTCATGCAACTTGGTTCTGGAGGATGATTCAGAGCCAGTGTGAGCATTTCATGCAAGGAGCTCTATGGCTTTTGCAAGGTTGTCAAGCATGGTTACACCAGGCTCAACATCATCTTCTGGGAGGGGTTCTTCATTATCATTATCTGGGTCATCTCCCAGCCCATCATCACCAGGACCATCATCACTGGGGCCATCACCACTGGGATTGAAGTCATCTGGTTCATCCAGGTCCAGTTCATCATCCAGATCATTGGTGGGCACAGGAGGCTGGTTAGAAGTGGGTGTAGTGAATTTGCAGGCTGAAAAGCCCCTGAAGTTATCAACTTCACTGGGCAACCATCTGGCTGTCCCTAAGGACACCAGGGCAGCAGCACAGCACAAGTTGACAGCTAAGGCAGATTCTGGATTGGTGGTAACACATACCTGTGCTGCTTGGGTTCAAGTTTGAGTAGGTATGCTGAGGAAGTGTTGCTGGAGTTTAGATGGGAGGGTAGTGACCCACACAAGTGTGAGTCTGAAATACTGTTAAGTCTGGTTTGTCACCAGTCCAAAGCCAGTCTGGATTCTGGTCAAAGGTCAGGGGGTAGGCAAGGTACTAGAGGTTTGGACTGTTGGACTTAGTGACTGAAGGTGCAGTGCTATTCCCTTGTGTGGGCCATAGTCTGGTTGAGAGGCTGAAGACAAAGGACAGAGGGGACTGGGTTAAGATGAGACTAAGTTGATTTCAGACTGAGGCTAAGCAGTTATCCTATGGCTTAAATACTAAAGGTAAAGTAAGCATAATGTAGCACCAGAGACTGGTTTACACCAGTACAGTGATGGTTGGTAAACTGATCAGTAAGTAATGTTACAAAGAATATTATCAAGCAAAACTATGAACAAAGGGTTTACTGGGAACTGGGGCAGGACTAGTGGCTGGGCCAGGTATTACACTGGCCTGGTACCAACTGAGCAGACAACTTGATTGGGCACTGCCTTGCAGTGCCTCATGAGCTAACATGTTTCTAGGTTGAAGGGTTAAGGCCAGGACCAGGGCAAGGGTTGGGTGAGACCAGTCAACACCAGGGTAGAGCCAGTCTAGGGTGGTCTAGACGTGGTTATGACACCTGTACTAATCCATCTGGCATACTTATTCATTCAGTCAAGGTCAATATTGATGCTAATGGGACAATTTCTACTTCACAGGCCAATGAAATTGAGCTCATCAACACAATATCCAAGTCAACCACCATCCAAAATTGGCCCCATGTTATTAGACTTCAGGTTCCACACAGCATCCAGAACATCATGGTATCTTTTAGCCAAAGTTTCAAGGCCCCATAGTATGTCATTGGCCTCTGTATTCTAGGATTGTGTTCACTCACCTCACATTCCAGACCATAGAATTTTTGCTGACTACCATGTTACCAGAAAATCTGTTCATCGCCAACTCCTCTCACATCATTTGTGATCAGAAACATGTTGTCAATATTAATGAGAGTATGGATGTTATCACTGGCAAGGTCAAAATTGACCCCACAGATGCCAACCAATCTGCCACCATGGTGAGTTAGTATGTATTTAATTTTCTTGCTAATGCATTGCATAGAGCCCTAGCAGGACCTTGCCTGCAGCTCCAATCTCTGCCCTCTTTGATG